CCTGGCAGGGAAGAGAAGTTTTTCCTAAAACCTATTGGGAGATTCACTAGTGGCAATGTGAGATTGTGAGGAAGCCCGAAATTGTTAGACTATTGTGTAACTGTGAGGCTCCCCCTCTTCAAGGAATGATAGCTGTGTGTGGAAATAGGGTGGGATAATTGGTAGTTTCCTTGTGCCCATTTTGTATTTGGTGATCAGGAACAATTTTAAACGTGGTGTGCTTTGAAAAGGTGCTTCAGAAATCCAAAGGGATATCCACTTTGCCCATTACATGGGACAGAATGATTAAAATTCCTACACCACCAGTGGTCAAAATGGTCAGATCTTGCCACCAGAGATGGACGAAATTGAAAAGATGCCAGTGGCCTTCACAGGAAATAAACAGAGAAAATGATACCGGCTGTGAAAACAGGCACAGGCTCCCAGTAAGCAATGCCAGATACTACTGAGTTTCCTGGCTAGGGCTTTAAACAGTAACTTCCTCATGGATTTTTTTTTTTAAAGGTTGGCACCTAAGCCCACAACTCCTCAACTGTTGCCAATCTTCTTCTTCTACTTCTCCCCAAAGCCCCACAGTACATAGTTGCATATTCTAGTTGTGAGTGCCTCTGGTTGTAGCATGTGGGACACCGTCTCAGCACGGTCTGATGACCGGTGCCATGTCCTCGCCAAGGATCCAAAACACCGAAACCCTGGGCCGCCGAAGTGGACAGCGTGAACTTAACCACTCGGCCAAGGGGCGGGCCCCTCTTCATGGTTTTATCACCTAATATGCTTTATCTAAACTTAAAGGAGGTGCGAACATTCCCAAGGCAAATTCTCAGACAGAAATCTTGACAAATCAGCTTCGAAAGAGAGGACCGGGAAGAATAGAAAGCTGTGATGTTGTGAGAGGAAGATTATTTGGGGAGAAGATTTGGAGTTTCCAGCTTGGGATAGGAAGATGAGGGGATGAGGGCACTGTCTCCTGGCTGTTTTTCCTGGGCTTTCAAGAAGGAAACCACAGCGGGCAGGGAGCGTTCGGCTGGCCTCACCCCACACCAGGTTCTCTGGCTTCTCTTCTCCTCAGCATGTGGAAGGGCAAATTGGTTTAGTCCTTTTCCATAACTCACCTCAAACTAACCCAGTAATACTAGAGAAGGAAGAGCAAGGCTGCGAAGGGCCAATTAACAGACACACATTGAGAAGACGCCTACTGACTCACTAGGAAATCCAATTCTCACTGTGATATCCAACCAGACTTCTGGAAAACCTACCTGATATTGGTTACTAGGGTCATGGGATAAAGGCTGAGGGACAGTCACATGGACTGGGCTGAACTGGGGAAGAGAGGGTCTCACAGTGAGGACTCATCTGTATTTGACGGTCCCAGTGATAGCTGGACTGTTTTGGTGTTTGATGACATTATGGAGATTACTATGAGCCCAATTATGAGATGGTGGAAAACAAGTGCAGTCACAGAGAATCGTAATAGAAGGAATCAGGAATGACCCAAAAGAGGCCATTTGAACCAGCCCGAGGCAGGTTGCCCCAGTGTCTCCTTTTCACTAAAATGCAAAACAACTGGCATTCCTGTTTTGCCAAATATGTACATCCTGCTCTTCCAGATGCTGAGAGGCAGACTGTTGCAGGGCATGGATGGTGTTGGTGGTGAACCGTCAGAGGAGTGGCAGATAAGAAGGCATGTTCGTGAGCCAGTGTTTCCTTCTGTTCATGTAAGAGTTGCTTGGTCAAACTCTCTGGTCATTGCTCACTGGTGATTTAATGAAACTACAAAAGGAACGATGTAGCACCTGTAGGACTGGATCTCTCACGGTCCCCAGTGACAGCTGCAACCAGGGCAAAACTCTTGGCAAGCACTCAACTGGGTAACGTCCATAGTTCAAAGTTCTGGGAAGTGAGCAAGAGAGGGCTCACCAGGTTAAGGATGAAGCTGCTTTTGTGCCCAGACAGTAAATGGCTGTTTCAAAAACTATGCCTTCCATTTCACCCAGTCTCTCTGAATGTAGGGATCCTCTCCATACAGACTAAGGGTGAGGCCCCTTAAAGAACACGTGACCCCGATGTGCTTTCTCTCTAGACCCGTTACAATATCAGATTCCTCTGGAGAAACCATATGCCTGAGTCCAGATGCGTTGGACAAGAGAAATAGTCAAGAGTTTCAGGGGATCCTAGTTACAGATTCAAAGATAATGCAAATTCCTGGAAACTCCAGTCAGATGGCAAAGACTGTGTCTGAGGCTATGGAGGAGGAAGGATCGGAGGTGGACAGGTTTTGCTAGGCCTACAAGTCAGACACTGAGGACCAATTACCCTCTACAGTGCTCTCATCACTCCCTGAGTTGTTCTCTTTTTTAAAACTTTTTATTTTGAAATTATTTTAGACTTACAGAAATGTTGCAACAATAGTACAGGGTTCCCTTTGCCCTTCATCTGGCTACCCCTAATGCTAACACCTTACAAAACCATAGCGCAAATATCAGAATCAGGAAATTAACACTCATATAATACTACCAACCATGCGAGTATCATTGGACCTAAGCAATTGCTACTTGGAGAAAGGACTTACTCAAAAGGGTGGTATATTGGCTGCTAAAAATGGAAACATGTAGAGCTGTCTTGTCCCAACAAAACTGTAAAGATGAAATAGTACCAGGCCCAGGACCACAGGTGAGACGGGAGTTATTGGGAGTCTGTCCCCACCTCCAGCTTTCCCCTTTAGCTCTCAGTTGGGTTATCTGAAAAGCACATGGAGCGCAGATGTTACTGAAGATTACAGAGAACTAGCTGACCTTGTGCTAACTGTGGCTGCCAGTGTTCCTCTGTAGGAAGATCTTTCTAAATCACCCCTGACTGGCATCCTTTTATCGATCTTACTAGGGCATTGCTTTCAATCCCAGTACATTTTCGACATCAACAGCAGTTTGCTGTCACTTGGCAGCGAGTGGTTTCCAGTCTTGCCTCCGAGATCTTTCAGTTCTCTAACATTTGTCATCTTCTGTTAGGGTGGGAATTAAACAGACGTCCTAAACCTGATTTAGATATTGAAAGTACTCCTTAGGTTGATGGCCTACTGATCAGAGGGGACTCTGAAGCAATCATTTCTGAAGCTCAGCCTTTCCATATTGAATTTATATTGAAAGGCAGTGTGCTATTAAGCATGGCAAAGTTCAGGAGCCCTTGCTCAGATAGAAGCCTTTCTGGAAGTGTCATTGCCCGGGGAAACCAGAGGAATTGTACAGGCAAAGGCTTTTGTCCATCCATGAAGTCGCTCCCCCTAAACAGAGACACAGGAATTAATTTTTATGTGTAATACTGGAGATGTCATGTATCTGGGTGTTAAGTGACAGCCACTTCAGTCAGTCACCAGACAAGCACTGGAATGTCTCTGAGGCCACTCCCCTCCCTCGAGGGCAAAGTCTGTTCTTCTAGCAGCTGATGAAGGTACTGGTCACTCCATGAAGGCCACCGCTCCTTGCAGGCACCCCTCTCCCTGAGCCTAAGGCCTAAGGTTCTGCAGCAAGCCTTGTTGCTTTTTCCTTTTTTAACCCCGCCCATGCCTTGGCTAACAGTCCCTCATGAAACTCTCTTCAAATTACCCAGTGTAAAAGTGCCACTTATTTCCTGACAGAACTCTCCTATAACTCAACACGGACACTGTTTTGACCAGATTTATTAGTTTAGGACCAAAACTCTGAGCACCTGCTATAGGTGTATCAGCGTGGTGTGTTTCCATATGTTAGCCCGTGTGACACCACAATAAGCCTTTCACATGTAAGGAAACTGGGTTCAGAGTCCTCCTTATGTACAGTGCCAAGGATCACCACGCTATTAAGGAGCAGGGTCAGACTGGAACCTGCTAGGTCTCCCATAAACATCTACAGGTTCCCCCCACTATCCAGAAGTAGAGCGTTCCTGTGAAACCTTTCCTAAGCCAAAATGGTGTAAAGCAAAGAACTAATTACCATTAACTCATATGGGAATAACTTTTGAGCATTTCCACACCCCAAAAAATAATCTACCAAATCATACCAAATAACACTAACGTAGAGTAAGAGCAGAAATGACATGATAAGGACACAGCCTATATACGGTGGAAATCAAGCAGTGTAGACTCACTGGCATCGAGAAGATAGCACACTGCAAGGCTGAGAGGTGGTGGTGACGCAGAGGGCATGTTGGGCCGAGGTGTCCCAAGGTGGGCTGGTGGGAGGGGCAGGGGTGTAGGAGAGAGGAAGAGGGTCATCTACTAACGTCCCATCACTGTCTGAATCCATCAGGGCAGGCAGGTCCCTAACGTCTACACCCTCTTCTGTGTCTGCCTGCTTTGCTGTCGCAGGTCGGTGGAGGTTCATCTTCTGCTGTGACTTTTGAGGAAGGCTTGAAATAGGACAGATGGTCGACTCCTCAGAGTCTGTACGGGCTCACTGGAAGACAAACGCTGGACGCTATTTTCACTTGGTGCCTTTTTTCGTAAAGGCAAAAGTCCTCTTCGGATTCCACTGCCTTAGCGAAAGCAGGTACTAATGTAGATCTTTCCTACAAGGTAAGTGGCCCTCAAGCGACACTCCCGGTAGCGGGAGAAACCTGTACTTGCTTGGAAGACATTCTAGGGACCCTGGGCTCTCAGAAAAAGGCTTGTTAAAGGACTGAGTGGTAAGGGAGGGATTAGGACTACGTTTTTCCACTGATCACCCGAATTACAACTACCTGGGATGATTTCTATAACTCGCTTCTTGGAACTGCCAGTATTTTTCCGAACCCATTAGCTCTCAGCAGTCGCTGTACCTCTGTTTTGACCCTCTTGCACATTGGATTGCAGGATTAGTAATTAACTCTGATCTTGGCAGACACTTCCTCCCACCCAGTCGCGAGGGGATTGGCCCCCACTCTAGGCGATCTCACACAGCAGCTTAGAGAGTGTCCCCTGCCGGCCCAAAGGGAGTAAGGACAAAGGTTCCAACTGCGCCTGCTTCCCAGCGGGGTGGAGAGCAGCCCCGCCAACCCGTGACTCCGCCGAGCCAGGCCGCCCCTTTCCGGCGCAGATCCGCATGGCGGCGACGGTGACCGTGGAGCCCGCGGGCCGCTGCCTCTGGGACGAGCCCGTGCGCATCGCCGTGCGCGGCCTGGCCCCGGGGCAGCCGGTCACGCTGCGCGCGTCCCTGCGCGACGAGAAGGGCGCGCTCTTCCGGGCCCACGCGCGCTACCGCGCCGAAGCCACGGGCCAGCTGGACCTGGAGCGCGCGCCCGCGCTGGGCGGCAGCTTCGCGGGGCTCGAGCCCATGGGGCTCCTCTGGGCCCTGGAGCCCGAGAAGCCCCTGCTGCGGCTGGTGAAGCGGGACGTGCAGACGCCGTTCGCCGTGCAGCTGGAGGTGCTCGACGGCCACGAGCCCGAGGCCGGGCGGCTGCTGGGCCGGGCGGTGCACGAGCGCGCCTTCCTGGGGCCCGGGGTGCGGCGGAAGCCGGTGCGCGCGGGCCGGGTGCGCGCCACGCTCTTCCTGCCGCCAGGTGAGCCCCCCGCTTCCCTATTCTATCAGCCAGTCTTTCTCCTGTTTCCTTGGCTTCTACCGAGAGGAAGGAGGTGGCTCCAACATTCTGGAGGTCCCTGGGGCCTTACACGGTCAAGGCCACAGGCGTGAAATGCAGGCCGGCTGGGGAGATGGTCTGCTGATCCAAAACAGAGAGGCCAGTTAAAAAGCATCCTAGGGGATCAGATCGGTGACCTAGTGGTTAAGTGGATCCACTCTGCGGGGCGGCCCGGGGTCGCGAGTTTGGATCCAGGGTGGACCTACACACCGCTCGTCAAACCATGCTGTGGCGGCATCCCAAATACAAAATAGAGAAAGATCGGCACACAGATGTCATCTCAGGGACAATCTGCCTCACACATAAAAAAAGAAAACATCCTAAGGGAAGAGAAAAGACCGTTGTAATTTAAAAAAGGAAACATGCGAAGGCAGGGAAAAAGTTCTAAGTTTTTAAAGAAACTTTTTTTGGGTAGTTTTTTATTGTTTTTTAAGTTTCTGTGTTTTCCAACTTTACTTCTAACTCCCACAGATATTAGATTTAAGAAAATCAGCATGAGGGGCCGGCTCCGTGGCCGAGTGGTTAAGTTTGCACGGTGCGCTGCAGCGGCCCAGGGTTCAGATCCTGGGCGCGGACATGGCATCGCTCGTCAGGCCACCTTGAGGCGGTATTCCACATTCCATAACTAGAAGGACGTGCAACTAAGATATACAACTGTGTATAGGGGCCGTTTGGGGAGATAAAGCAGGAAAAAAAAAAAAAAGGAAGATTGGCAACAGTTGTTAGCTCTGGTGCCAATCTTTAAAAAAAAAAAAAGAAACAGAAAAAGAAAATCAGCATGAGGGAGAACGGCCTCTTCCTATCAACCGGAAATCTGAAGTTCCTGGATAATTTTACCATTACATAAAAAGCAAGTGGCCAATGAATAAAAAAGATGTGTATCCTCGTTAGGAATCAGGGAAATGCAAAATAAAACTACTAAATACATTTCATACCCTCACAATTTGCCAAAATTTAGAAGTCTAACCTTACCAATTGCTGACAAGTATGTGGAGCAAAAGGAACTCGCATACACTGCTAAAGGGAATATAGTCATTCATCTCCTCCTGGAAACAATTTGTTTTGGTCTAGAAACTTGACTAGGTCATTCTGCTCCTGGCACATGTGCACCAAGAGGTATTGTGTGTAAGAGCAAAACCAACTGGAAATAGCCCGAATGTCCATCAACAGCAGAACTGATGACTCCACGGAGGTACGTTTACGGCACAGGTGACTGAACGGCAGCTGCAAGTCACCATGGACGATTCTCAAAACAGTGTGAAATGAAACAAATCCCAGAAGAACACATTCAATCTCATTCCAGCTACATAAAATTCAAAAAATAGGCAAAATAAGCAAAATACTAAGGTACACATAGAAGGGGTAATCCTGTGAAGGAAATCAGGAGAATGATGAAATCCAGGAGAGGGGACAGGGAGGGAAGGGGCCCAGGGACTCAGGGGGCTTCAGGGGTTAGTACTGAGTGACTTCTGAAAGTGTTGGGTCGAAAGGGTTTGCTTTAGTGTTATTCTTTAAGTGTGGCATGTTAAATACAAACTTTGATGTAAATGGTGAAAATAGCCAATAGGTAGAGTCATACAGAATATGTAGCCTTTTGAGTCTAGCTTAATGCCTTTGAGATTCATTCCTGTTGCTCCAAGTATCAATAGTTCCTTCTTGCTTCTTAGTGGGACCCCCTTATATGGATGTACAGTTTGTTGATTTATTCACCATTTGAAGGACATTTGGGTTTCAAGTCCTTGGAGATGATGAGTAAAGTCACTACAAACACTTGCATACACCTTGTTTGTGAACACTAGTTTTCGCTTGTCTTGGATGGATACCTGGCAGTGAGGCTGCTGGGGCCTATGGTAAGTATATGTTTCACTATATCAGAAATGGCCAAGTCTTTCCCAAAGTGGCTGTATCATTTTGCATTCCCACCAGCAGTGTATGAGGGTTCCAGTTGCTCCACATCCTCCTGGCATTTGGCATTCTCACTTTGGGAGGGGGGACAATGATTAGCTGTTTTCGTTGTCTGTATGTAAATTACTTTTAATCAGAAAGTAATACATGTTCCTTGTAAAGAAGTGTGGGGCTCTGAGGCTCAGGGTGTAGAGGGGAACATGGATTCAGCCTCTGCCGCTGTCTGGACCTTCGAAGTCCAGAGGTCTTCCAGCATTTCTGATTGTCAACAGAAAACTTTGACATCACCAGGTGGGCAACAGATGGCTTTTGATACCACTGCAAAGAGTTTCAGAAAAAGTTCGTTTTTGTGTTTTGTTTCTTCCACAGAACCTGGGCCCTTTCCTGGGATTGTGGACGTTTTTGGAGCTGGAGGTGGCCTTCTGGAATATCGAGCTAGTCTGCTGGCTGGGAAGGGTTTTGCTGTGATGGCTCTGGCCTATTACAACTATGACGACCTCCCCAAGAGCATGGAGAGCCTCCACCTGGAGTACTTTGAGGAAGCTGTGAACTGCCTGCTTAGTCACCCTCAGGTTGGAACTTCTCTAGGAAGTGTGTTAGAGTACCCGGTTCAAGTGTGTGTGTGAACAACCCTCTCTTCCCGGTGCCCCCTCTGAGAGAACAGTAGTAAGTTTTAAAGAAAGCACCTGGTGGCCACAGAACCTGGGAACTAGGAGATGTTTTGAGGGTTCTAGGCTCAGGGTAGCAGAGGATCAGAAGAAAAGCCCTGCCTATTTTCCACTTCAGTCAGAGCTGACGGTGTCTGGAAGCTTTGGAGCTCTTAGAAAAGGTGACAGGGCGTCGTGGGGCCAGCATAAGATGTAGATAGACAAAAGTTAAATTTGAGTTCTGATTTCACCAATTACTAGCTCTGTGACCTTGGGGCCTGTTTGAAATGGGAACAATTCGGATGAAAATAATATCACTTAATTCCTAGTACTTTTATGAGGAATAAGTGGTTGAATACAGTTAAGGATGCTATTGTAGAAGCCACGAGAAAAGAAAGACTGCTGTTGAGAGGTTAATTAAATGGCCATTGGTAATACAAGATTTTGATAAATGTGACAAGAGCAGTCCTTGCTGCATGTTGCAAACCCAGATTACCTTGGAGGGGATTAAGTAGAGAAAGGAAGACAAGAAAGAGAAGAGCTGCAGACAATTTCTCCCACAAACTCTACTGTGAAGAGAGTAGAAAACTAGGGCAGAGTGGATGTGGGGTCCAGGGACTGTTATGAAAATGGAAGAGGTACTAGACCCGGAAGTGCACGGATGGGAATGAGCCGGTAGAGAAGAAAGTTATGAAGGGGAGAGAGGGAGAGAGAGAGAGGGAGCATTTGCAGGAGCAAGGTCCTGGAGAATCCAAGTGGATGGGATCCCAAGCCGAGCAGAGGAGTGGCCTTTGATGAGAACAGAGGGACTCCTTTGGAACCAGGAGGGAAGGCAGAGAACTTGATTCATGTGGAGCTCAGTAGAGCTGGCAGGGGAAAGGAGGAGGAGTTCCTCCAGGATAGCTTCTGTCTTCTCCATGGAGGATGGAGAGCTGAAAGTGAGGGTGAACAGAGCTGAAGGCACTTCAGGAGGTAGGAGAAGGTGTGGAATGGTCTTTTGGAGACAAGGAGAGCAAACAACAGTGAAGTGTGGTTGGGTCCATGGGCAATATGGATAGTAATTTGAAATTTGTGGTCATGAAATGAAAGTAAGAGCTGTCGGCACAAATGTGTATTTTTTTCTCTAGCAATGTTTATTTGCATAAATGCAGGTTTAGAGGAAGTGATCAGGTGGATTTAGCCAAGGCTAGCCCTTTTCCAGGCTAGTATGCCCAAAGGAAGAGAAGTATTCAAGGAGTTTAGAGTGCTTGCAAGGGAGTGCTAATAACAATGAGGCTTGACATCTAAGCTGGATGAGGTGGGAAGTGAGAACATGACAAAGGTATTGATAGTGAAAATAGCGGTAGTCAAAGTTTCAAGGAGGTGTTAATGGGCAGTCTAGCATGGCTAATCTGGAATTATTTAAGATGGTGGTCAGAGAGTAGAATGCTTAAGCTGAGATTCTGGAGATGATGTACTCACTGATGATCACTGGGTTTAGGTTATGCCAATGGGAGTGGGTGGCTGAGGTGGGCTAGATAAAAAGATGATTAGGGGTCAGGGAACTGAGAGGCCAAAGTACTTAGTAGATCTTCCACATAGTTGTTGAATTCACCAGGAACGGTGATGGAGAAATTGTGGAAAGGAAGACAGGAAGGATGAGTAAATATCCCAAGGTTGCAAACTTTGTAAATGGTAGAGCCCAGATTCAGGCTCAGTTCCACGTGACCTCTAATTCCAGGCACTACTCCTCACACTGCCCTGATCATGGACTCATTCTCCCTTTTCCTCTGTCCTTTTCTCAGGTAAAGGGTCCAGGAGTTGGGCTGCTTGGCATTTCCAAGGGGGGCGATCTCTGCCTCTCCATGGCCTCCTTCCTGAAGGGCATCACTGCCACCGTCATAATCAATGGCTCTGTGGCCAATGTTGGTGGAGCCTTGCACTACAAGGGGGAGACTCTGCCCCCTGTAAGTTCCAACCTAAATCGTATCAGGGTGACCAGTGAGGGCTTTGCAGACATTTTGGATGTCCTCAACAGCCCTTTGGAAGGACCCGACCAGAAGAGCTTCATTCCTGTGGAAAGGGCTGAGAGTGCCTTCCTGTTCCTTGTAGGTCAGGATGACCACAACTGGAAGAGTGAATTCTATGCCAGTGAGGCCTCTAAACGCTTACAGGCGCATGGTAAGGAGAGGCCCCAGATCATCTGTTACCCAGGGGCGGGGCACTACATAGAGCCTCCTTACTTCCCCATGTGCCCGGCTTCCATGCACACCTTGGTGGGCCGTCCTGTCATCTGGGGAGGGGAGCCCAGGGCTCATGCCATGGCCCAGGTGGATGCTTGGAAGCAGCTGCAGGCTTTCTTCCACAAACACTTGGGTGGCAAAGAGTTAGGGTGACTCTCCTGAAAATATAACCAGTTCCAGTAGTTGACCCTTATCCATGGTTTCACTTTCATCAGTTTGAGTTATAGTCAACCATGGTCTGAAAATATTAAATGGAAAAGTCCAGAAATAAAGAATTGATAAGTTTTAAATTGCCTGCTGTTCTGAGTTGTGTAATGAAATCTTGTGCCATCCTGCTCCTTCCCACCTGGAACATGAATCATCTCTTTGTCCAGGGTATCCACACTGTAATAACTTTCTGTCACTTAGTCGCCATCTTGGTAATCACACCAACCGT